TTATAATATTCCCTCGTGGGCAATATGGCCTGTATTCAGTGTCATATAATCACCAGGGAAATAAAATATGCTGCGTGTTAATCCATCGCTACTTGATGTTGCGGTTTTCATGACGTGTCCACATATGAGTGAAAATGTTTTTTTATAATATTCCCTCGTAGGCAATATGGCCTGTGTTCTGTGTCATATAATCACCAGGGAAATAAAATATGCTGCGTGTTAATCCATCGCTACTTGATGTTGCGGTTTTCATGACGTGTCCACATATGAGTCAAAATGTTTCTTATAATATTCCCTCGTGGGCAATATGGCCTGTGTTCTGTGTCATATAATCACCAGGGAAATAAAATATGCTGCGTGTTAATCCATCGCTTCTTGATGTTGCGGTTTTCATGACGTGTCCACATATGAGTGAAAATGTTTCTTATAATATTCCCTCGTGGGCAATATGGCCTGTATTCAGTGTCATATAATCACCAGGGAAATAAAATATGCTGCGTGTTAATCCATCGCTACTTGATGTTGCGGTTTTCATGACGTGTCCACATATGAGTGAAAATGTTTCTTATAATATTCCCTCGTGGGCAATATGGCCTGTGTTCTGTGTCATATAATCACCAGGGAAATGAAATATGCTGCGTGTTAATCCATCGCTACTTGATGTTGCGGTTTTCATGACGTGTCCACATATGAGTGAAAATGTTTCTTATAATATTCCCTCGTGGGCAATATGGCCTGTATTCAGTGTCATATAATCACCAGGGAAATAAAATATGCTGCGTGTTAATCCATCGCTACTTGATGTTGCGGTTTTCGACGTTTCCACATATGAGTGAAAATGTTTCTTATAATATTCCCTCGTGGGCAATATGGCCTGTGTTCTGTGTCATATAATCACCAGGGAAATAAAATATGCTGCGTGTTAATCCATCGCTACTTGATGTTGCGGTTTTCATGACGTGTCCACATATGAGTGAAAATGTTTCTTATAATATTCCCTCGTGGGCAATATGGCCTGTATTCAGTGTCATATAATCACCAGGGAAATAAAATATGCTGCGTGTTAATCCATCGCTACTTGATGTTGCGGTTTTCATGACGTGTCCACATATGAGTGAAAATGTTTCTTATATTATTCCCTCGTGGGCAATATGGCCTGTATTCAGTGTCATATAATCACCAGGGAAATAAAATATGCTGCGTGTTAATCCATCGCTACTTGATGTTGCGGTTTTCATGACGTGTCCACATATGAGTGAAAATGTTTTTTTATAATATTCCCTCGTGGGCAATATGGCCTGTGTTCTGTGTCATATAATCACCAGGGAAATAAAATATGCTGCGTGTTAATCCATCGCTACTTGATGTTGCGGTTTTCATGACGTGTCCACATATGAGTCAAAATGTTTCTTATAATATTCCCTCGTGGGCAATATGGCCTGTGTTCTGTGTCATTTAATCACCACGGAAATGAAATATGCTGCGTGTTAATCCATCGCTACTTGATGTTGCGGTTTTCAGGACGTGTCCACATATGAGTGAAAATGTTTCTTATAATATTCCCTCGTGGGCAATATGGCCTGTATTCAGTGTCATATAATCACCAGGGAAATAAAATATGCTGCGTGTTAATCCATCGCTACTTGATGTTGCGATTTTCATGACGTATCCACAAATGAGTGAAAATGTTTCTTATAATATTCCCTCGTGGGCAATATGGCCTGTATTCAGTGTCATATAATCACCAGGGAAATAAAATATGCTGCGTGTTAATCCATCGCTACTTGATGTTGCGGTTTTCATGACGTGTCCACATATGAGTCAAAATGTTTCTTATAATATTCCCTCGTGGGCAATATGGCCTGTGTTCTGTGTCATTTAATCACCACGGAAATGAAATATGCTGCGTGTTAATCCATCGCTACTTGATGTTGCGGTTTTCAGGACGTGTCCACATATGAGTGAAAATGTTTCTTATAATATTCCCTCGTGGGCAATATGGCCTGTATTCAGTGTCATATAATCACCAGGGAAATAAAATATGCTGCGTGTTAATCCATCGCTACTTGATGTTGCGATTTTCATGACGTATCCACAAATGAGTGAAAATGTTTCTTATAATATTCCCTCGTGGGCAATATGGCCTGTATTCAGTGTCATATAATCACCAGGGAAATAAAATATGCTGCGTGTTAATCCATCGCTACTTGATGTTGCGGTTTTCATGATGTGTCCACATATGAGTGAAAATGTTTCTGATAATATTCCCTCGTGGGCAATATGGCCTGTGTTCTGTGTCATATAATCACCAGGGAAATGAAATATGCTGCGTGTTAATCCATCGCTACTTGATGTTGCGGTTTTCATGACGTGTCCACATATGAGTGAAAATGTTTCTTATAATATTCCCTCGTGGGCAATATGGCCTGTGTTCTGTCATATAATCACCAGGGAAATGAAATATGCTGCGTGTTAATCCATCGCTACTTGATGTTGCGGTTTTCATGACGTGTCCACATATGGGTGAAAATGTTTCTTATAATATTCCCTCGTGGGCAATATGGCCTGTGTTCTGTGTCATATAATCACCAGGGAAATAAAATATGCTGCGTGTTAATCCATCGCTACTTGATGTTGCGGTTTTCATGACGTGTCCACATATGAGTGAAAATGTTTCTTATAATATTCCCTCGTGGGCAATATGGCCTGTGTTCTGTGTCATATAATCACCAGGGAAATAAAATATGCTGCGTGTTAATCCATCGCTACTTGATGTTGCGGTTTTCATGACGTGTCCACATATGAGTGAAAATGTTTCTTATAATATTCCCTCGTGGGCAATATGGCCTGTGTTCTGTGTCATATAATCACCAGGGAAATAAAATATGCTGCGTGTTAATCCATCGCTACTTGATGTTGCGATTTTCATGACGTATCCACAAATGAGTGAAAATGTTTCTTATAATATTCCCTCGTGGGCAATATGGCCTGTATTCAGTGTCATATAATCACCAGGGAAATAAAATATGCTGCGTGTTAATCCATCGCTACTTGATGTTGCGGTTTTCATGACGTGTCCACATATGAGTGAAAATGTTTCTTATAATATTCCCTCGTGGGCAATATGGCCTGTGTTCTGTCATATAATCACCAGGGAAATGAAATATGCTGCGTGTTAATCCATCGCTACTTGATGTTGCGGTTTTCATGACGTGTCCACATATGAGTGAAAATGTTTCTTATAATATTCCCTCGTGGGCAATATGGCCTGTGTTCTGTGTCATATAATCACCAGGGAAATAAAATATGCTGCGTGTTAATCCATCGCTACTTGATGTTGCGGTTTTCATGACGTGTCCACATATGAGTGAAAATGTTTCTTATAATATTACCTCGTGGGCAATATGGCCTGTGTTCTGTGTCATATAATCACCAGGGAATTAAAATATGCTGCGTGTTAATCCATCGCTACTTGATGTTGCGGTTTTCATGACGTGTCCACATATGAGTGAAAATGTTTCTTATAATATTCCCTCGTGGGCAATATGGCCTGTGTTCTGTGTCATATAATCACCAGGGAAATAAAATATGCTGCGTGTTAATCCATCGCTACTTGATGTTGCGATTTTCATGACGTATCCACAAATGAGTGAAAATGTTTCTTATAATATTCCCTCGTGGGCAATATGGCCTGTATTCAGTGTCATATAATCACCAGGGAAATAAAATATGCTGCGTGTTAATCCATCGCTACTTGATGTTGCGGTTTTCATGATGTGTCCACATATGAGTGAAAATGTTTCTTATAATATTCCCTCGTGGGCAATATGGCCTGTGTTCTGTGTCATATAATCACCAGGGAAATAAAATATGCTGCGTGTTAATCCATCGCTACTTGATGTTGCGGTTTTCATGACGTGTCCACATATGAGTGAAAATGTTTCTTATAATATTCCCTCGTGGGCAATATGGCCTGTGTTCTGTGTCATATAATCACCAGGGAAATAAAATATGCTGCGTGTTAATCCATCGCTACTTGATGTTGCGATTTTCATGACGTATCCACAAATGAGTGAAAATGTTTCTTATAATATTCCCTCGTGGGCAATATGGCCTGTATTCAATGTCATATAATCACCAGGGAAATAAAATATGCTGCGTGTTAATCCATCGCTACTTGATGTTGCGGTTTTCATGATAGGTCCACATATGAGTGAAAATGTTTCTGATAATATTCCCTCGTGGGCAATATGGCCTGTGTTCTGTGTCATATAATCACCAGGGAAATGAAATATGCTGCGTGTTAATCCATCGCTACTTGATGTTGCGGTTTTCATGACGTGTCCACATATGAGTGAAAATGTTTCTTATAATATTCCCTCGTGGGCAATATGGCCTGTGTTCTGTCATATAATCACCAGGGAAATGAAATATGCTGCGTGTTAATCCATCGCTACTTGATGTTGCGGTTTTCATGACGTGTCCACATATGAGTGAAAATGTTTCTTATAATATTCCCTCGTGGGCAATATGGCCTGTGTTCTGTGTCATATAATCACCAGGGAAATAAAATATGCTGCGTGTTAATCCATCGCTACTTGATGTTGCGGTTTTCATGACGTGTCCACATATGAGTGAAAATGTTTCTTATAATATTCCCTCGTGGGCAATATGGCCTGTGTTCTGTGTCATATAATCACCAGGGAAATAAAATATGCTGCGTGTTAATCCATCGCTACTTGATGTTGCGGTTTTCATGACGTGTCCACATATGAGTGAAAATGTTTCTTATAATATTCCCTCGTGGGCAATATGGCCTGTGTTCTGTGTCATATAATCACCAGGGAAATGAAATATGCTGCGTGTTAATCCATCGCTACTTGATGTTGCGGTTTTCATGACGTATCCACATATGAGTGAAAATGTATCATGATGGTCCTGTGTGGACGATATGGCCAGTCGAACGCACTCGAATTAGTTGAACACACTCTTCGTTTTAGGAAGAGAGAACTGTGGAACAAGTGAACAGAAACCTGAAGAAGCGCCAGATGCAGTCTCTGGCCAGTCAGAGTGTCCAGAATACTATCCAGGTGGCACTTGAACAGGACAGCAGTGTGTTCCAGTACGATGAAGTGTATGACAGTATGAAACAACACCAGCAAAGAAAGGTTATTTAAATTGTTTGTTTAATTGATTTGAAGGTTTTTCAATTTTTTTTCGTTAATTGCTCGTTTAAACTATTTGTTCAATTTATTTGTTTAAATTTTTTGACGGCAGTTTTTATTACTACAGTTTTTGTAACAATGCTTTGAGATATGTCTAAATCCATACGATTTGGCATTCAGATGTGTGTTTTGGTTTTTTTTCCGAACGTTTTAGCACCCCGTCATGATGCGGGATTTGGAGAGGCTTTTTTCTGAGACGCTAGTTTTCTGAAAAGTCGAAATTTTTGCTACTTCATAGCTTAAATGATGCAATGGAATACTGGAGACAACTTGTTGTCCAATCCAGTCAAAATTAAATTGAAAATATGTTTTAAAATATAGCCTTGCAATTATTTCGAATCCGATCTCAACTATCGCAAAACTCAATTTTTATTTCGGGAGGTACAGCTAATGAACTATTAGAGGTAGTGTAGATGTAAAAAAGCGTTATTGAAAACTGTTGGCGACCGTTTTAAGCGGTAGCGTAGCGAGATTTAGATTAATTTAGAAGTGATCGAACAATTAGGGGTTTTTTCATTAGCTGGTCTTATCATAAATTTATGGAAACTAAGGTGATTTTCAATCTTTCACGTGAATTACTGGAAAAGGCGGTAATTTCCAGTTCCTAATTAATAAATGATTGGAGTCCTGATTTTTTAGACCTCACTAGCAATTGTAATACCAACCCCTAACCCCTCTGATCTCTGTTACTAATGCCCTCCCCGACGATATTCATGATGTGAATAATCTTTCACGTATTAATTACTCGAAAAGGTGGTAAATTCCAGTTATAATTAATAATTTATTAGAGTGCAATTGTAATTTTGGATGATTTAACAATTGATTTCCTGACAAGTTAACGAAGTTAATTTAAGACATATATGAACAAAGAGTCTTAAATAATTTTTGTGCAGATTGAAGAGAAGAAAGCGGCCAATCGTACGAGCAAATACGCGGCCGATCTCATCCGGGCGGCGGAGAAGAGGAAGGTGATGAATGAGTTGCGAGTGGAGAGGGGGGTGCAGAAGGAGCGACAGGCGGAGGGGGGGCAGTACGGGGACAAGGAGTCCTTCGTGACTGAGAGCTACAAGAAGAAACTGGCAGAGAGAGCAGAGATGGAACGAGAAATCAAACGGGATGAAGTGCTCGAAGGTTCCTGTTTTTTGTCGTGAATCATTCTTGTTTACTCATTTTTTTTTTTAGTTTTTTAACTTTGTTGTAACGGAACCATGTTACTCAAAAACATGCGTGGAAGACTAATGCGTGGAATCAAGCACTGTGTTTAGCTAAGTCTTGAAAGCCAAGTGTTGCAGTATATTATATACTGATTGCAATCAAAATTGAGTTCTAGCTCAAGCGTGTTAAATTTGATATCTGATGTTTTAGCTCGAAGGAACAAAACACAAGAATTTTCTGGTTTTTACAGAAATTATCTGGACAAAGTATGTCGAGACGGGTCTGAAAAACTGGAGGTCGAACTAATGTAAGTAATTTGTTCAAGTAGATTTTTCTCTGTCAGTCACTAGAAATTTTAAGTCACTGTAAAAATACATTTAATAAACTAAATTCTGATACCACAAGCTGTAAATATCTTTTTAGAGGCTTGTCTGTCCTTGAATTTTTAACCTGTAACTGGAAAATAAACTGATTAACGATTAACGATTTAAAATGCAAAAGCATCTTGCACACACAGTATTTTAACAGTTTTTGTTTTTTTTCAGCGATGGAAAAACGGAACCTAAAGACGAAAAAGAAAGCACCTCAAAATTAGAAGAGGCAGATACGTTGGCAAACATCAAAACTGGTGGTTTGATTTTGCCAACCAAGAAGCGCCCAGTGAATATCAGAAAACGGCAGAGTGAAGAGAATAAAAGCCGAGACGATAGCAGTGACGAAGAGGATTCGGCTCCCGCTTCCAAAATCCGAGAGATCCAAAGCAGACAAAACGATCAAAATTCGACAGAGCGGAAACGCCAGAAAGCAGATTGTTCCGATGATGAAGATGCGAATAGTAAAGGTTCGGGTAACTCCGGGAGTGAATCGGGTTCAGGTTCCGATGAAGATCTATCCGATCAAGAAAAGGATGCCGAGAAAGCTTCTCCTGTTCAGCCTTATAAACCTCTTCCCCAAGTTGTTTTGAAAGACCCCGAGGAAGAAAAAAGAGAAAAGATGAAGATGAAAATGGAGAAAATTGTTAAGTTGTTTGAAAGAAGGAATACTGAAGAGGATATAGAAGCGGCTCGCGAGAGGTATTTCATGCGCAAAAGAGCGGGAACGAATAGACCTGTGCTCAGCAAAGACTGAAAGGATCGATGGGATCAATATCAATCTTTCGTCTGTTGATGAGATTTTGATTGAGTTGAATGCTCAAAGATTTGCCAAGTTGTCCTTCGAGAGCTGGTACGGAGATTTTATTGGCGATGACGATTACCTGGTACTCAATACGGATTATTTTGAAAACTTATCAAACTTTCGAAAACTTTTCCACCTTTGATCTTTGTGTGACCAAAATTTGTACTTGCAGTAATCTATCTTCAATTGATTTTTTTTAAACTAAGTTTTTTAATTTTTCTGCACCGCTCAGAGATGTAGATACTATTTCAAGATAACTCGGATTGATTTGAAGTTTGGTACACTACCATTGGTATAGCGGTGTCCTAATCTGCTTCAAGTTGAAGATATAAGGAAAATGTCAAAGAGGTGTAACAGGAAAAGAAGAAAATGAGCTTTTTTAATCCAGAGGGAGGCTGTGCCAAATTGTTTTGCATTCATATTCCATTTTCAGATTGAATGCTGATTTGTTCTAATTTGGGGAGACGCCTTTTGGGCAACTCATCTTCCTTCTTCCTGTTCGAAAGTCAAGCAAAGCGATGTCTGCAGTTGTCATGTGCTCTGCAGGTAAACGTTGCCGGCCGAATTTCGAGGTCCAAGATTGACAAGCCGGTGACGTATGAACAGTTCCACGGGGCCCCACACTACATTGGAGTCTTCAAAGGACATAGCTCTCACAATACGAGTTAGTCAATTGAAAGCGATTAGGTCTTTGTCATTACACTTGCAAGCTTGCGAGCTTTAGTGTATTTTCTAACCCAACTCGAAAAAAACTCGCACTATAGTACAAACAGCGCCTTGAAATACCAGGGCTTTAAAGTGCAGTAGGAGCGTTTTCTATCGTGCAGTAGGAGCGTTTTTTTTCACAAAATTTCGGGGATCACAATAAAGTGATGAAAATTTATGTATTTAGTGCTCAATATTAACTATAGAAAAACCATTCTGCTTCATTCCACCATTGAGTTTTTACACAAGCAATGCTTGTGTTCTAATATGAACTATCTTTTTTTCCAACCTAAGTCGCAAATATTGTTGCGACGCAAATTTTATTGCGATAAAATGTGTTCTTTTTGAAAGTGTTCATTTTGATCAATAATCAGCTATTAAGTACAGTCAATGCTAAAAATTTTGACACAGACTATTGGCGCACAGACAATTCGGCCACAGACAATTCAGACAATTCAGCCAAAAGTATACAGACAATTCAGCCTGAGACAATTCAGCCAGTTTTACAAAATGCTAAATTCGAAAGAAAAAAATCGGAATTGGAGCTATTTCTCGGTTTAAGGTCAACGGTGGGCGCGCTACGCGCGCGTCGCCGCGATAACCGGCTCTAAATTTCGTATAGAGTCCTACCCTCTGTTGGCAAGCTCGCAACACGTTGGCGCGACTGCGGCGGTCACTATATTTTTGGCTGAATTGTCTCTGGCTGGATTTTCTGCATAATTTTGGCTGAATTGTCTGATATTCAATTCGGCTGAACTGTCTTTGGCCGAATTGTCTGGACGCGAGACTATAACCGGCTCTAAATTTCTTATAGAGTCTTACCCTCTGTTGGCAAGCTCGCAACACGTTGGCGCGACTGCGGCGGTCACTATATTTTTGGCTGAATTGTCTCTGGCTGGATTTTCTGCATAATTTTGGCTGAATTGTCTGATATTCAATTCGGCTGAACTGTCTTTGGCCGAATTGTCTGGACGCGAGACTATTATTGTTCCGACTTTCGTAACGAAAGTAACGGAATATTTGTGCTCGGGGTGGTTTTTTTTTCAGACAAATTTCGACTTTTTAACTAGCCGTTTTTGACTGGATTTTTTTATACCATTCAAAACGTATTGTTGTCCTGAGTTTAAATTTGGAAAGGTATTTCACCTGTGATTTTTTTTCGGAAAGTTATGGGGGTTTAAAGATTGCCCTTTTGACCAATTTGGGACAGTTAACGCGCGATATAATTCGCGCTATTAACGCGTAAGCGGAGATTTAATCCGTCATAGAACTCATTTCAAATTGGTTGAAGGAAGCTTATTTGCCATAATTGATTTGTTAATTACAGCGAAATTTATCTATTAATACTTCATATGGCGTGTTGAGGTATGATTTTCACAAAAAATCCCAAATTTAAAAAGAATCCATTTTATTTTTGTTACATCTAATTTTTTCATGTTGTTACTGCTCCATAGACTGCTCTATAAATTGAGGTATGTTAGTCGGTAATTTTTTTCTTCAAATTGACTGGTACTGCTAATGCGGCATAATTGGCGTGCGTCACTTCAGAAATTTTGTAGACTCAAAATTTTACTCATTCAGTTTTTCACACAAGCCTTATTGGTCATATTTCTGTTGTGTATGCAAAGTGCAACTTCGCCTGTTTTAAATAGTGGCAAAACCCTCAATATTTTTATTATTATTTTAAATATATATGTTTTCCAAGAATTTTTTTTCGCTTTATTTTCGTTTTTTAGTTCACCATGGAAAATGTGATCGGAGCATTCTGGTCATGATGCAATGTAGCGGCCTCTCTCGTTTAAGGTTGAATTTGTTTCAGCTAACGTGGAGGGATTTTACGACAACGCAGCCCAAGTGAACACGGAGGATTATTTAGTGAGGAAGTTTCTCCATGGAACATTTTTGAACATGATTGCAATGGAGCACATCATTATTAAGAGAAAACACAATCAGGGTTGGCAGATTAAACTCCGAGTTTTGAATAAAAAAATGTATTTAACACAGTTTTAACTCCGATACCGGTACTAGAGACAAAATTAACTTTTTTTCACTGGAGACAAATGTTTTTTTTTAATGGAACCAACACACTCAATCAGTCAGTCCTTGTCGTTCTTTGTTTTCTTTCTGTGCATGTTAATGTTTTTCTCAGTTGCATCTTAAGTAATTATCTTTTTTTTAATTTTTGCACAGTTATATTCAATAATTTTTTCAATTACTGTAGTTAAATCTGTTTTCTAAAAAAAACGGGAATTAATTCATTTGGATCTTGTTAACTATCCCCTTTTTTGAACCTTGTTAACTATTTTCCCCCTATGCGTATATTACTTTTGACGACGATTTCTTTATAAAATATGCATGTCAAAATTGTCAACATTTAATTGGGCTTTCATTGTCGCGCGTTCGTGTTTGTATTTTTCTTTATTTAAACAATACATAACTGAAGAATTTTAATAAAGTCTATTATCTGAAAATTGTTTTAAACTATTCAAAATGTGGCAGCCAAAAGTTGACTTTCTCAAAATCGAAATATGGGGGGATAGTTAACAAGATCCGATCTTTTTACAATAGTTAAAGTGAATAGTTTTGAGTTAATTTTTTAAAAGAGGCCATCTGCCAATCCTGAACAACATAGTCAACATCATCATGCTCTGCTGGGTTTCAAAAATACCCTCGAGGTATTACTTTCTCAGGGCATACGCACAGAAGATTCTAGAGTATTTGTTGAAACAGAATGTTAAAATTGACATACAGTGTACGAAACATAAACAAATCTATAAATTCATTTGATTCTCTTTTGTGTTAACATTTCCAACGTAGTGTTTTAATTTGACTCTTATTTTTTCCAATCTAACTCACAAATTAAAATGATCATTTGGTGGCACTTTTGCTAAAATCACGATCTGATCATTGGAAATTCCATAGCATCTCTTCTCTACCACATTTGTGACTTGTCTTTGGCAACTTTTAAGCGTCCTTGACTGATAGGGAAGGTTACTAGACTCCAAACCTCCTGGTCGCAGGTTCGAGAACACGTAGCAAAATTTTTACAACTCGAGGACATTTTCAGTTTTTTTTTTCACTTTATAGAGGTGCTTTGTCGTTTTCTCGCTAGAGATTCCGAAGCGAGCGCATCCTCGCATCTGTGTAAAATAATGTTAATTGAATAGCTGGTCAATTTGAGTTCAAACGCCTACAAAGAATCTACGATCGAGTAACTGCAATCTGTATCGCTATAAGAACAGATCTGGATCGCTATAAGAACATTAAAAAAACTTAGTCTTGGAAAAATATTTTTTGTCGAATTGGTCTCATGGGGATTTATAAGCTGCTGAATCGTTTATGAAATAGCCAGACTATAGACTTTTTTTCAGGTTAATAATTTCTTTGACAAAATCACTTAATTTGATATCAGTAAATTCAAATTCAGTGTCTTTTCTGCACATTTGGCCAAGCGGGAACATCTATACCTGATAAAACGAAGGTCACTGTTTACGTGGTTTATGTTGAGGTTGGAGAACCTTGAGTGAACAAAATGCGGAATTACGATTTAAGGACAATTTTTTTTGTGATTTTTTGTTTGGCCTCCTTTTAATCACAAGAATGCATTGAATGAGTCCTTTTTATTTTCAAATTTGACCTAATCAAATTTTTTTTAATTTTGTTATAGATAGCAGATTTTTTAAATTGATTTTCCCATTTCTTTTGCGAGAACTTACGCTACTCATACGGGAACTAGACTTTTTCAATATAAACAATTGTTCTTACAAGCGACAGGTTCTCGGGTTCGATTCCCGAGCGGACCTTTTCTTTTCACTGCCCTTCTGTTTTTATTGAACCTCGTCACAGTTCAAGGCCCTTCCATTTTGTTCTAGAGGTAAAGAACGCGACTTCGGAGCATAATGTCTGGGGTTCAATCACCAGCGGGACAGTTTTTAAGCTATGCAACAAATCGATCCTGCTTTTTATTGTACCTCAATCATTCAAGCCCCTCTCACTTGGTCCAGAAGTACACCTTCGGAACAGCTTGTCTACAGTTCAAGTCCAGGCAGGACTTTGTCTTTCTTTCTTTGTATGAAATTTTTTTTGAAAGAAGAATTGTTGGACTATCGTTTGTCTACTTATTTTTCGGAATTGCTTTTTTTCAATGCACAATATCTCTCTTATTTAAGCAAATTTTACTAAATTTGTTCAAAATTGAGTGCGTAAGTTAACCAATTTTGATTTGTATAATTATATTTTTATTTTTTTTCGTAATTTTTTTACTTATTCGTGTTCACCTCATTTTGCGTCGGTTACAATGCAAAAAGAGATAGTTCAATATTTTGTGTATTTCAGAGAAAAGAGCGTAAAATGTCGAATTTCAAAATATTACAGCTCAAAGTTCTCGTTAATTTTGTTTTCGGCTCAACTAACGTCTACCATTGTAGTTTTGTCTTAGTAAACAATTTTGAATGCTTTTAATATAAGGGCAGTGATTATTTCCCTTGGGGTATTCTCCTCAATTTGAAGATCATCCGAGTAAGTTATGAGGTTTTTGTTGAGTTCGAATTCTTCGACTTAGTTGCTTCCTTTTCATTTTTTGTCCATGATTCCTGTAACTGCTTAAGAGTCGATGAACTTGGTGGAAACTATAGGGGTCGTGAGCTTTTTGTTGTTTTTCAGGAAAAGATCTGAAAATTGTGATCGCTCATTTATGATTTTTCGGGGTTTGACTTTTGAATTCAGTTCTTTTAAACAGCAAAAGTTTGAAGGTCACAAAAACCTCACTCGATCGAGCTCGTGTTTCGAAAAATATTTTAAATTTTTTGATTTTCCATCGGTATAAAAAGTTTACACATTGATCCAATTAACTCTAAATGGATTAGTTTTTATCAGAAAAGGTTCACGCGTGAATCGCTCTTGAAGTTTGAAGAGCTTTAGGGTTTTTTTCGAAAATTGAAGGTTTTCAAAAAAAAACAAATGAGATATATTTTTTGTTTTTAATGCTCATTGACTCGGTTTCCAAAATGTTTTGACCAACTTATTCCAACATGTTTCTAGATCATTAGTTTGTTAAAACTCAGCTAGATCGTAATTACTCATGAAATAACTTAAAGTTTTTAAAAACAGATTGCAGTGTTTCTTAGTCCTTTTTTGTATCGCAAATGATGAGATATTTATAATTTTTATTCCTAAGACCACTCAAAAAGTGCAAAGTAACTCTGGCGTAGGGAAGTAACTCTCAAAAATGCTCTTTTAACTGGGGATTTACATTCCAAAAACGATAGTTTAAAAGCATGTGTTCTCTTAGTCAAAAGATTTTGTCTGAAAATTTCTGCTCAGGCTAAATTATAGCAAAGAAATTTTCTAAGGTTGTTTTGTTTTTCAGGTAAAGTTTTTAAATGATCTTTCAATCACAGAAAATGCATTCTAACACATTAATGCATTTATGAATGCTTTAGGTATATTTCCTTTTTTGACTTCAATTCAAGTTCAATTGCTAATTGGCAGGCAATATTCACACTCCAATTACGAAAGAGGAAATGGCGGACAAAAATGTGATTGATTTTTTTTTTATTTTTGGAAAGGGGATTTAACTGTCAGTTTTTCCAGTGGAATAAACATTTAACGATGGACCCGTTTTCTCAAATTGAGTTAATTGTACCAAAAACTGCAATGCATAGATTTTTTCTTTGAAATTAGAAAATTGAAGTTTTGAAAAAAAAAATCAAATCTCATTTTTTTCAATTCTTTGCGATCATTGACGCTTTTTCAACTGTCTGTTGGCTTTGTTCCGATTCTTGGGTATGACTTGTATCTGATTATCACAAGTTGAAAGCAAAAGAAGGTATAATCAACAGTTGAATTAGCAAGCAATAAAAGAATAGTAAATAAATTTCCATATATACCTAACTTCAATGCTAGCTCTGAAACTTCTTAACTTCACATATGCTTCTCAACTCCTCCCTGCTTCATTCATCTAACGAACTCTAAGTTTTAAGATGAGCTCCAGACTCATTTTCAGCCTAAGCTCGTTCTTTTCATCATGGTCGTTTATCCTCAAGTCATCAACTTGCTCCCAAAAATGTCAACATTCTGTTCTGTATCAATGGAAAAACAAGTCTTATTGGCTGCATAGTTCTCGAATTTATCATCATTTACCTTTGCTTAATTTCCAAATCCTATTAATTTCCCAATAAATAGATTTTCTCGCTCATTTTCTTTTTTCAAAAACGACTTGTCTCCGAAAATTATTTTAGCTCCTGCTTTAGAGAGTTTTGAGAACAACTCATTCTTTTCGTAAGAGATTAGACTTTAGTTAGCGTTTTCTTTCACTGAATTGTTTCAATGACCTGTCACAATGGCTTTTCTTTTCGTTTTGCTCTGTTGCCTACGTGCAGTTCACCTTCTTCTCTGTGGCCTTTTTCGTCGGTTGTCTATTTTAAGTGACTTAACCTTTGCCACCAATTCACAGCAAGCTATTTCGTTTTTTTTTCAAGTCAGTGTCATGACTTTTGACACGTATTTTGGCAGCTGAGCTTATAACCAATCATAGGTTGGCAGCAAAACAAGGTATAATCAAAAGTTGAATTTGAGAGCGATAAAATTGAGATATCCAATCAAGTTCTTAATTTGAACTAAAAACAGGGAAGTGACTTCTCTTAATTGCGAGTTTTTTTTTCTCAAAAATTTAGCTCTGACCGCACAAGCTGTTTTGTTGAATGTAGTTCTTATGGCCTTGTTCATCAAGCTTAGTTTAATACCTCTCAATATCCAAAAAAAAAACAGCAGAAAATGCATTGTTCTATTGGGTTGTTTTTTCAGTCACTAATCTAGAGTGGAAGGAACTAGAGCTTAGTGGAATTTTGACCACATTGAAGAAAGAGCATAGTCTGATACAGGGGCGGATCTAGGATTTTCTCGAGGGGGGGCGGATTTTCAAAATCTTTTTGTCGACCTTTTTTTTAGGTCGGCCAAACTGATTTTTCGAGCTCTCCCAAAGCACTGTTTTGTCCATGTTTTGACCAAATTTTCTGCGCCGCAGGAAAATTTTTGAAAAAACAGGCCAAAAAAGGCGTTTAAGGAACTTTTTGGAAAATTTTGACCAAAAAAAAATGCGTTTTTTCGGCGCAGGCTCCCAATATATATTGGCGCCAAAGGCGCCTTCAGAAAGTTTTTAGGGTCCATCACCAAAAATGGATATTGGAAAATAGTACAAAAGGGGGACCCTTTGGGTCGGCAGGGGGTCGAATCGCTAAGGGAGGAGGGCGTCCGCCCCTCCCGCCTCCCATCTAAATCCGCCCCTGGTCTGATATCATGCTAAAGCCTATTTAGTCGTAATTGCGGTTCTGCAAAGCTACTTCACTCTCATTCATTGAGGCGAGAAAGAATGGTCTGAATGTTTTCGCTTTTCAGACCAACATTTAACTCATTTTCTACTGCCTCAATCGTACACCATTTTGGAATAATTTTAAATAATTTTTAGCGCTTATCTATTTGAAATGAAGGTAAATTGCATCCCAATACTTCTCTGCTACCCATGAAAGTGGGAGCCAATTTAAAAATTTTATGTTTTTTTTTGCTCTCGTTGTCAGATGATTTTGCTGCTCGCACAGCACTAAGTACACGTAACATTTAATCGCGTTCTTTTTTCAAGTAACATTTAATCGCGTTCTTTTTTCAAGTTTTAATGGGTATCCGGAAACATGCTCAGTTTTGCGTATTTTTGCTTCGTCAATTTTTGTATCGCAAGAGATGTGAAGCTCCTTTTTGCGTTGTCTGTTTTAGCTATTTAATGCTATGTTTCTCGTTTATGAGAATTTACGAGTGAATATTTGGTTTGTTTTCAATTTTTTAGGAATA